CTGTCTCTGGGCAGGAGTTAAGATCTCATCTTCAGAACTTTCTGAGCCAAGAGAGAGATCACAAGGGTGATTGCCAGCAGGAAAACCTCCAAAGTCTTTCTTTCTGGAAAAACCAGTCCCTCCACCAGTGGCAGTGGCAGCTGGCCTCCCAAAAGCAGAGCCTGGAATATAGTTGGGGTTAAGACTTGTGGCAACAAAAGCGTCCCCCAGCCTAGAGCCTGGAAAAGTTGAGGATGCATCTAATGATGGTGAGCCAGGTGTTTCTGGGACAAAAACAAGATCCTCTGATCTATTTCCCACTGGTAAAGGCGACCCAACTAGTTCAGGCACAGAAGGAGAGTTGCTGCCTTCATCTGAAGACAGGCTACTCTCCTTCCGCCTCTTATGGCGCGACATTCTCGTAGTTGACGAATGTCGCGCTTTTGATTAATTCTTAGCTTTCTCAGAGTTCAAAACCACAGTAATCTCAAGTTTCAAAATTGAAACCAGATATGTAGGCTTAGGACTTACTAACGTCCGTAGTCGATCGCAGCTCGAACCGAAATCCCGCCTGCATTATTCTAATAAAGATGTTTATCAATGCCAATGTCATACGTAAACTTCTCAGTGGTCAGTGCCCTAATGCCGTGACTGCCGTCTACCGTCCGGCAAACGGCGATTGCCGAGAGTCGGTACTATTGCAGAGGCATGTGCCGAGTGCCGACGCCGATATCAGTGCATACCAGTAGTACTGCATATTGCCAAGGTATGGCGTATGGGATGAGTCAACTCTAGTCACTACCTGAAGGGATGGTGTGATCTAGGATGTGAGTGATTTTTCCTAATATTGCTATTTATATTTGCGCCAGATTTTTCCATGCAAGAGTAAGTTATATATTATATATATATTAAAAAAAAATATTCATGAATACGAGTTATACGACTGGCTTCCTCAGTCGTATTTCTTGCCCAAAAGTCTATTGAAGTTCTTGCTGGAATCTGTTCAAGTTCAAGATGCAACAGTTGGAAGTTTGAACTGACGTAACTTGGAACAGCTGACGGTCGTTACGTAGGCAAGAAGAATCCTTAGTCAAGGCAGGGCGCATGCCGGAGAGCGGAGACCAGACTTTGCCAAAAGGGATATTGTATCCCTAAAAGGGATACAACCCCTGCAAAATTTTATCATTAGAGAAACATCAGCAATACACTAATCAGATTGGAAATAGTTTAATTCTTATTGCCATGCTTATTATTGGCGACCTGAATGAACACTTGCCCCATGCCCCCGTGGGACTCCTAAAACAGATAGAATAGAAGTGTCGGCACTGTAAAAATAGGCCCATGGCCTGTTGCCGATTCTTGAATTTTTCGTGACTTGATTCACAAGGGATCCGGCCTTTGGAACCCGATCTTTCCATAACTGACGATTGATTGAGATAGCTGCTGGACTTATTGTCTGGTCTGTAATTTGCTAGCAATTTTGAGACTGAACATAGCCTAGGTATGCTGCTGGGCCCCTGCATAGCTTTGTTTAGTCTGTTCTTGAAGGCCTTCATACTCTACTCGGAGCATCAATGATGCTATCAGGGAGGCTGTTCCAACTTCCATATGTCGGTGACTCAAAGCGAGAAGAAATGTTGTCGCATGGATGTGTTACAACGCAGTTTTTTTAGTTTATAGCCATGGATGATGGCCCCTGGTGTTGGTTCTTGTTTCAAATTCTCGTAATCCTTCCGAGACCTTGTAGCTATAAGCCATGAGTATACTTGTAACTTGTATGCTTCTATGAAATCCCCATGCAGATGTCAATAACTGAGGCTTGGAAGCTTCATAATCTTTAATCTTTCCTCATAGCATAGTGGCAAACCAGAGATTTTTGAGAATCATTTCATTTTTATTTTCCTCATTTAACCAAGATTTAAACCAATTTCTTATGTATGATAATGATGGTCATGGTATTATTGGTATCCAGGATACTTTACTGGTCTACTTATAGGACTCAAAATTGAACTTGAGGGAGAGTCTAAAAAATTCTCTGCTTTGCCACTATGCCTCATAGGACTTGCCTTTCAAGCCTGGAATTATCCTTGTTGCATGTCTTTGAACACTCTATTAAAATTAAATTTTTGTCGTTTTCAAGTTTTGGCGACCACACGTTTCCAAACTCTAGGTTCCGGTCACACTACAGTCGACAGCAACAAACAACTGCTTCATCGCTTCTGCATCTAGGAACTCAAAAGAGCGTCTGATCAGTCCAAGTCGTTTATTGGCTCTATTAACTGGACCTTCTATATACTTAAAAAATGTCAACTCATTGTCAATATTAACTCCTAAATCTTTTTCCATTGTTTACTTCAACATCATCACTCTGTTGTTACAACCGTGTCTTCTCATACTGTAATCTTGCTGTTCATTATTCTTGTCAAGGTGGATTACTTTACATTTGTCAGCGTTAAAATGCAGCTGCCACTTATCAGCCTAGTCAACCAACCTGTCAAGATCACCTTGTAACTGTACTTTTTGCAACGTATTCATCACTGTATTATAAATTTTTGTGTCGTCAGCATACATCAAGCACTCTAGATACAGCTTCTGGCAGATAGTTTATAAACGCAACAAATAAAATAGGCCCAAGAATGCTTCCTTGTGGCACGCCACTGCGCATTGAAGCCCAGTCTGATACGGACTCATTAATACTGATACATTGGCATCTCCCAACTAGAAAATCTCTGATCCATTCAAGTACATTGCTGTCAATTCCCAAAGACTGCTATTTCCGCAACAGCCGCTCATGTGGGACACTGTCAAATGCCTTGGCAAAATCGAGGTACACTGCATCTACTGGCTCCCTTTCATCCAGCAGGCAGGTCCATTCAGAGTAGACAGGTTAGTGGTGCAGGATCTCCTGGCAATAAAGCCATGTTGACAGTCTGATAAGAGTTTATTAGCACTCAAATGATCTATCAATCGATCCTTCACAACAGATTCCATTACCTTGCAAACAACACTTGTCAAACTGACAGGGTGATAGTTGCCCGGGCAGCTTTTGTCACTTTTTTTGAATAATGGTGCCACTTGAGCTTCTTTCCAGTCAGCCAGCAAGATCCCTTCGTTCAAAGTTTTTTGATACAACCACAATGGCTGGAGGATTGAGAAGTTGATTGAAACACACAACCTTATACTGCTTAATGATGCAGACACTCCTTCTTACATTGATAATCGTACTGGCTCAACTTTATGTCTTGACCTTTGCATAGCATCTCAGTCTGGGTCACGGGTGTCCTTGGGGAGCTGCATTGGGTAGTGACATAGGCAGCTATCACTTCCCCTTGAAAGTCACATTTGGCTTCAAGTGAGCAAAGCCAAGGATTGGTCCTTTAAAAAAATTGGGCCTTGAAAAGAGCCGAATGGACCAAGTGGACAACCCTGTTGCAGTGAAATGGCCCAATTTTAACTGATATGTACTTAAAACATTCCTTTAGATGTAGAAACCCATAATCATTCAATCACCAACCCATCAACAATTTCAGTAAAAATCTCTAGCCTCAACAAGCTCTTACATGGGCATAGGCCTCAACCTAAGTACATATTACCTAAAATGTGGTTAATATGTACCTAAGTACATATTAACCTATTACCCCTACTGTTATTGTGCAGATTACATCTGTAATCCACACCTATTAAATACAATTGTAATGAAACAGACCAAAAAGATGACCAAGCTGGTCAGTTTTGCATGTGACCACTGTAGGGTTAACCATCAATTAGTCTAATACACCTGATTGCTCTTGACCTCTATCACTAAGAAACACATTTGCTTCCAAACAGTTCAGAATGCTGCCTCATGAACTAAATTGGTTGCCAAATTACAATGGCCAAACAACCTGAACTCTGAATGTCTAATGCTAACCAATCAACAAAACTTTGACAGTTTGACCTTCTGTCCAAAACCTATTGCAATGCCCAATCTACAGCACGCTTACAGCCATATCATGAGAATGATTTAACTTCATCAACAAGAAGTACCTACTAATGTACATCATCAGCACAGTACTTTGAACAGCCAGTGATGCCCTAAACACAAACTGCCAAAAAGATGTTCATTGTTTGATAGTTAAGAAGATGTTTCAGCAACAGATGCCTGAACCATAAGTGCAGAAGATTCTGATAGTATTGAATCCAGAAAAAGAATTTACTACAACATGGATTCTTTCATCTTGGAATAGCTCTTTATCACCATCCTGCAAAGGGAAAGTCCAAGATCACATGCTGTTTTGGATCTTGGCAACTCCCAACAGGTCCTTCATTTTATCATCAATTCTATGCATTACACCTTAATGATTAAAGCCAAATGAAGATTACAAAAAATTTGACCTAGCTGCACTCTTCCACTTCTCCCCCTTCTTGATTCCAGAAACATAGATCTGTAATTATTCAGCTGGAATGTTGGAGGCATCATTTCTATATGTAAGCAACATGTCTAACTTGGCCTATTTTTAATCATTAAGACTACTATATTATTAGGTCCCAGTGGTGAAATTCTATTTGTTGTCTGTCCAGTTCAATCCTTTCTCTTGACAGCTTGCTTTCAGATCACTCTTGTGATCTCTTGGAATCATAAGGTGACAATCTGTTTGAACATTTTCTGGAGAAATACAAAATATGACTCCTTGTCAGACTCAAAATCTGTCAACAAGAATTTGTGTTGTCATCTCCATTTGTAGTCAGTGATCTAATTTTCTCTAATTTTCCTGCATTAAAATGATCTAATACTAAAATTATTTGTTTAGCTCTAAAAAAGTAATAAATTATGAATCATTACTTACTGAGAGTTAATTGGCTCTCTCAAATATGAAGTCTTGAGTTATTATGATCCCTCCACTTACTCTGCTGTTAAGATATTTTAGATTTACTGGGAACTCTATCAGATCCATCATCATGATTACCTACTTTAATTTCAGGTAGTCTCATTGGACGATCAGTACTCAACACTAATTTCTTAATTATTTCTTCTCATCTACAGAATATATATTGTGAATTTAATTCATGACTCTGAGTTATATATACATTTCTGGACGTTGATAGAAGGTATAAAATGTCAGAATCTGACTGGAAGGAGAAGATAATTCAAGAGAGGTTAGGAGGTAAAAAAGACTGGACTGACTCTGAGCGCCTTGAGCTCAGCCATCAGCTGGACCGAGAACTAGAGGAGAAATTTGATCAACTTCTTGGCAAACCTTCTTCTGACAGCTCAAAAGTTGGTGAAACTTCCCGACCCAAAGATGCCTGGACAGAAGAGAACTGGAAAGAGGTCTGGTTTTATTAATTAAAACTTTTAATTACAGGATTATATTTAAACTCAACTGTCAGCTTGCATTGGTTAATAATGAGTTAAGCTTATATCATGTCTTGACTTCAGCATAGCAAATGCATTTTTTTGTATGCAACCTGGCATATGACCACATACAAACCTGGCATATTACCTGGCATATTTTTTGTATGCAACCTGGTCTGAAATTATTGCGTAAAACTCGATTTATTCTCTGATGCATACAAGACTTACACATTTTTACAAGTTAAAAATCACAAGTAATATGTATATTATTGCATTACAAATAGTTGTACTCCTATGACAGAAAATGGCTGAGCATCCCATATTCACCCCATATACTGGTGAGACCAAGGACGGGGTTGTGCAGGCTCCAGACAATGCACTCACTGATGGCTTGGCTCAGCTGAAATTTAGTCCTGACCATAACTCCCCTGATGGTGAGCAATGACAGTCACCCTCTTGGTAAATCATCATATTTTGAGATTATTTGTGCTCTTAAAAAGCAGGTGTTGGATTCAAAATCCATCTTAAAATAGTTTTAAGTTTCTTGAGCTATTTCAGTGTAGACTGTGTTGGCTAAAATTTTCAGAATTATTACAAAATGAATTTCCTATGATTTATTATTTGACATGCAAGGTATCTCAGCTTCAGAGACTACAAAAATTTTTGTACACTCTTCTTTGGAGGATATGCTTTTAAAATTAAGCCTTTCTTTGCCTTGTGCACAATTCATTGCTTTTTTTGTGCAGAACTGGCACGGAACTACAAGGAAGATGGGATTCACCATTTCAAGTACAAGAAGTATCGCCTTGCTGTGGCAAGTTTCAGTGAAGGCTTGCGAGTCAAATGTACTGATTCTGAATTGCTCACTCAGCTTCTGAACAATAGGGCAGCTGCTTACTTCAGACTTGGTCAGATCATTCTCCTTGGAATTACGTTTTAAGCCTCTGGACGTTGTTTGAATTAATTTTTTCTATCATGTATTGAGGACAGGATGTTTCAACTCCACAGTACTCTGCTAAGAACTGTTGTGATTATTCACAAGACGTATTTCTTATTACTTGCATGGTAACAACTTTAATTGCCGTTCAGGGACTTCACTTAACTGACTTTGGTTATATTCCAGGCAACTATCGATCAGCTATCAGAGATTGCGAACAGGCTGTGGCACTGAAACCAGATTATAGAAAAGCCATCCACCGCGCTGCAGAGAGCGCTGACCGCCTCGGCCAATGGGAGGAACTGCTCAAGTGGGCAGACAGAGGCTTGCTGCTAAATCCCACTGATGAGGTCTTTGTGGAACTGAGAAGAGCTGCTCTCGAAGAGAAGGTAAGATTCCTTTTCCTGTGTAATTTTTAGCCTAGATAAAGATAGTCTTTTGCTGTAATTGCAATATAAAATTTATTTAATTTCAAAAAATTTCAGTGTATGAAACTAAGACACTGCTCTTGAAAGGAAAATCAGCTTCAGGAAGCACTTTGGTGTTTTAATAGAATATTTTTTTTTGCTCTATACATTGCATTAACAAATCATTCCATTCTTATATCTCTTGACTATTTTCTATCTATTATATATATCTATCGTGGCTATTTTTGTTAGTTACTAGTAACCATCAGAAGACACGTTATTAAATTACGATGGCATGGTCATGCTACCTTACAGAACAAGAGCGATCGTATCACCCGGAAGCGGCACATAGAAGAGCACCAGAAGCTGCTGGCCATGAAGCAGCTCCTCAGCGAGATCGAGAAGCGCGGCGTGAAGCTCGAGGAGCGCCAGGAAGCTGGCAGCACAAGGAAGGATGATGACTGCGAAGACGAAGAACTGCGCCGTGTGGAAATTGAGATTGCTTCCCTACCCAATTTGGAGCCTTGTCATCCTTCCGCTGTCGTGAGTTGCTTCATCACTACCCTTGAACCAATCTTATTTACACCCATGTAGGCTAAAAACTAATTTGCTACGGCATAATGTACAGTTCCATAGGTCCACACGCCTTACAAATTGTACACAATTCTGGTCATGCATTTAAATTATTTCGAAAATAAATGGCACAATATTGCGTTAGTATACAATTTCCCCGACATTAAATCCTGTATTCATATTGTTATTCTTTCCTTAGGGTTCAAAAGTGCACCAGAATAAAGCTGGCGATTTAGTATGGCCTGTCCTGCTTGTGTATCCTGAGTACCATCAGACTGACTTCATTCAACATTTCAACGAAAAACACTCGTAAGCTGTTCTTGTGTCACGCAATACTTCCATTCTTTGTTCCAAATTTTTTATAAAATTTCGAAACTTTGCCCACAGTTGCTGATAGCAGTGCCTGATTTTGTTACAGAAAGGACGCTTTAGATCCATTTCACTGAAAAAAATTACTAGCTTTTTATATACAACGAGATAAAAAAGTGTCATCATATCAAGTGTGTTGTAGGTTTTCAGACCAGCTTGAGGTGGTATTTGGAGAAGGTAGCCCTCCAGCTCCGTGGGACAAGCAGCGTCAGTACAGCTTGTCGCGACTGGCCATCTTCTTCGAGCACCGCGACGGCACATCCCTGGTGCCCGTGCACCTCAGCAGTGCGCTGGGAGAAGTCCTCGCCGATGAGAGGTATTGCATTGGGTTCAGATGAAGCTCGAAGTTTACTAGGCAGTTGCAGCAGAAGAGCTCGAGTCTTTTAAGTCGTCTTTTTTGCAATCAACGCCATTAAATTTCGTGATAAAAGAATAAGAGAGCCAGAGAAAGGAGGGTGTTTGTTGTAAGGAGCTGCTGTAATACTTCTTAACTAAGCCCGTTTGGAAGCTGCAGTTGCAACAAGCTCTTATTCAAGAAAAAGCCCATATCATTGCTCCATTGATGTAATAATTGTTATGTCTAAAATTAGTCTCGAGAAAAGTAAGTGATACCGTCGCAATTTTTGCATCCGCCCCCTCTATTAAGCCTGAATTGGTCACGAGTGTTTTAATGTTTTTTTATTACTTCGGTAATAGCGATTTTTGAAACGTATGTGATAGCTCTTTCCGCAATAAATGAGAAAGACTGATAAATATATTTAATTTTTCAGATTTCTCGTACGTGGAGGAACGCCATCCTTTATCATTATGGTGACGGAAAGCAAATTTCTGAAGAGTTTTCAAGCAAAGTATAAATGAAAACATTCCCGAAATTAAATGAATTTCATGTACCACTTCTTCTTTCTTCGTGTTGACGAGGATAACCGTGCTAGACGTATCTAGTCTTATTTATTTTAAAACAGAGCGCATTTTTACAATCTAATACACTTTTTTTTCTTGTAAGCGCTACTTGGTTGTTGACACATCTTAGATATTATACGTATCTCATGACCTAGCAGCTCCTGTTAACGGCAGGAGACGATTGAATCAACCGTCATCTGTTCTCGACATTACAAGACTATCTCTGTCACTATTAAATAAGTTGTCAGGTTTTTGAACATTTTATTATACCTCCTATGATTTCAATGTCAAGAAAGGCGAATGTAAAGACAAAACTCATCAGTAAAGCCCTTTAATCATCAGACTTGTTGATCTTCCTGGTGTAGACGATCTGCGCGTGATGCTTGCAGACTCTTCGGATTGTTCCTGCATATTTATGATGCAATTAGACAAAGTAACCATGAGAATTGCAAGCTAGATGATTTTACATAGTGAATATTTCAAGATTGAAATTTAGTGTATGAATGCCCTTCTAAATTATAATATATACATGTTATACTATGGTATGCAATATTATCCAAGATTATATGAATGATATGACTCATAAAACACTTCGAATAGTATTACACTTGGCGATTTCATAACATCCACTGAAAGAATTCATTAACGTGTTTAATCTACCACAAGAATCCCAAAAAAAAAAAATTCGAAAGTAATTTGGCGCAGAAATTTTAATGCATAATTTCAAAAACTAATGTAAAATTATAGAACGCACCTTTCCTGTGAAGTTCAGCAAGGGCCTTCTTGGCTAATGATCCAGTGATTTTGAGTCTCTCAGACACGACAGATGGCGTGATGAGCTTGGAGTAAGGGATGTCCTTCAATAACTTATCATAGGTGACTTTGTCGAAGAGCACCAGGTTGTTGAGCTGATCACGAACTTTGCCCTTGGACCACTTCTTCTTCTTGGCCTTGCCACCGGATCCTCCTTCCTTCTTCTTGGCTGGGGCCTTTGAAGGCGGTGCCTTCTTAGCGTCTTTCTTGGGTGGCTGAAATATTTTAACCAAGTTTAAACATATAGAATACATCAAGCTCAGTTAAAAATTTCCAGTTGGTTACATCCAATACATGCATTTTCTGTCAAGATAATCAATAGGTGGAAAAAAACAAGGACATACGAGTATATGCATAGGTTGTATAAAAAACTACAGTATATCGGCCATTCAACTCAATTTGTAATTCATGTTGATCATAAAGGATTAACTACATAATAGTAAAACAACAAAAGTTAAACTTGGGAGTCCTATCAAAGGGGAGTCATGGAGGTCTTGGAAGTCATACTTCCAATCATCATTTTCACAGACTACTGAAATAATGGTGCCCAAAACATGTAATTGAATGTGAATACATTCTCGAAAAAATTTTTTTTCTGATGAACTCAGACGTGTTCAAATGCAAGAAATTAGCTTCCTGACAGGACTCTTGAACGTAATTACCAGCAGAAATAAAAGAGCAACCTTGAGAATACAACAATTTTAATTTTGCTTCAAGATAAAATACCGCCGTTGCTCCAAAAAGTTGCTTCCATAAGAGTATTGTACAAGTGAAGGCTACTTAGCTTTATATCACCGCAGCTTGTCATTTTTCAGACTAGAACTTCTTAGTTTAGAACAAAAAAAAAAATGGTCTTACAATCTGCAAATGCAGAATTTGAGTGATACTGTAGGCAAATCAAAAATCATTACACACTTCTGATTGGGTCTTAAAATGAATTGCTTCACAACAATTGACTGCAATTGTGGAATTCAATTTAATAAAAGCAAAATTTCATGATATTTAGTTGTAAAATATATTACACTACCACCTATCATGCTAATACTTTAGTACATTAAGAATTAGTTCCAAAAGCACTGCATTTCAAAACGACTAGTTAAAAAGTTGTATACATGTCATCAGTGATAACATAGGCTCAAACCTAGGCCAGAACAATCTGGAATATTAGAGGAGAGCAAAATCTGGAACATTGCAAGCAAAACTACCCTTCTATGGGCAACTTTTTTTTACACAATTGTGCAGTTTTTAATAAAAAAAATTAGTCAAGGGCAATAAAAATGGGTGGAGTTGACTGCAAGCACTGGCATTGCTGTCTCCTTTGCAGGCAGCACTTGCTAAATTCCCCAAAATGGAGTCAGGCAAGGCGGTGGGCTATTAACAGTGATAATTTTGTGCAAGGTGAATTCTAAGATTGATGGTTAATGTCTTCAAAATTGTCATCTAGGTCTAATGCCTATTACCACCAAATATGCTTTGTCATTAGAAAATGCTCTAGTTCAATATACTTTGATTCCACTATGTGTGCCTGTCAGACTGTCAGTAGCTCAACATTTCCGAATTCAATACATATTCCTCAACTGGGCATGGAAACAAGCATCTTTCATAGTATAATTGGGCCAGATAAAGGCAGTGAAGATAATTAGCGTTACAAATATATTGAATACTAAGCAGGTTAACTTGGCTTTGCTTAAGCTATGTATTGGGGAATTATTCTATTAATTATTGTCAATAGGAATAGAATCTTGCAGCTCATAAATGATATATTTGCAATACATTAGAAATCTAGCAGCCCAATCAGGCTCTTTTGTTAATTAGATAGAAGGCAACTCATCTACTAGGAATCTCACTCAGTTTCAAAAATGGTGGGAAAGCTCACATTTAGAAAGTTAGATATCTTCTACGCCTGCCTGGGCTTGATAATTCCTATAATTTTCAATCTTGCTGTTGCAATCATCCATTATCCAAATAATTATAACAAACTATATGAATGCTAATTATTAAAGACCCTTCAATACTCTTACTTTATTATGAAAGAAATCCTATTATGTCCCATTCTACTCGTGTCTAAAAAAAATAAAAAATAAATTATTTTAAAAAATTTATATTTACAAATTGCAAAGTCAAATTTTCATTTTTCATCCAATTCTTTCCTCTATTTCAAGTTATCAACTCTCATTCACCCAGTAAGAATTTCACCCTGAAAAAGGAATAGTGATGAGTAATTATCAGAACCAAGTTTGAGTGCAAATTGGATTTTGGGAAAATTATTTTTTTCAATGATTCTGATATTAGAAATTTTTGCTTTATTAGGTTAAAAATGTGGCTTCTAATATATCTGGCTAACAAGTTGAAAATATCCATTATTTGAGCCATTGTGTAATTCTTGATAGGTAATATATCTTCACCCTTATATAATAAAGTGGATCAGAAGGCCTACCATGTTTCACATCCCACCACAATGCCAAGTAATACACCAAGCTCATAGGAGGCTGTTGCTCTTCTTACATTGCACAATTTACCTACAGCATGTTGATCTCCATGATGTCATTCTCAAATATCTTCCCTAGTTGTTACCCCTTAACTGAACAATTTTTATAATCATCTCCCAACAACTCTATTGCAGAAAATCTCACAATTTAATAATGCCAACAAAATTTTGAATACCACACCAAATAAGATAATCTTGGATTATTTTATGGCATGGGACCAAGTTAGTAACCGTGACCAATTGGATTTCTCATTCCCTTTTTATGTTTGGGCAATGTCAAATTCAATCTCACAATATTTGATCCACACAGGTATTTAAATGATAGAAAGTTATTTAAAATTTCAGCACCTCTTTATATGCATCCAGATATGAATATTATCATGTTTTTGCACAATTTTGTCATTGTCAAAAATATTGTCTTGCTGACTTCACTTCCGATCCTGTAAATTGTCCTTTCCCATCGTGAGTTTTTTAATGTTTTGTGTCTTTTAGAATATGCTCGTTGTTCAAAATAGAGAAGTACATTATCTTTTCTTCATAAATCAGAAAGATCTTGAGAACTTGGAGAAGTACCATTAATAAAAATTAGGCATTTTTAGAAAATATTTGATATGGGAATGAAAACACTTGTGAAAACTAAACTTTTGCAGTCAAATAGAAAAGAAATGCCAACTTTTTCATTAATAAAAATGAGCCCTCACTCACTTGGAAACTCCAAAACTACTGACTCAGAAATGCCATATGTACCCACAACCGCCAAGTCGCTAACCAAACTGCCGACTGGAGTCTGGACCAATCAGTGAGATGTATGCTTTCAATTTATGTGTACAAATATCTTTTTGCTCCCCCAATGATCTCTGCAGTGGGAGTGTCATGTTGAGCAGTAAACTCTGCATTGTAGCGCAAGTGGTCATTACACTTTAATTCATCTTCATAATTATTTTTGGTGAACTAAGTCTAATAGGGTAAATGCACCATATTCCGACACTGGGTAATTCCAACACCCCTCAACGTTTTCCTTTATATTAAGCTTGGTCTTAGTTCCACGCATGTGTAGATGGTTGAAATAGTGACGTCATACTATTGTGCGCCAATTTCCGCTAAACACTAGGACTAGCGGGAAAATGTTAAGATCCGCAGAGTGAAAGTCCAAGTCAATTAGTGAGAACATTGAAACACGTATGAAAGTTGATCTTGCTTTAGTAAATAGTGATAAACTGTTTGTGTAGAAAGAATATTATGGTTTGAGACTTTTAAATAAGTGTGAATATATTAGAAATCCTTCAAGTATACTTGTATTTGCTGATTTTAAGTGGTAAATAAATTAATAGATGATTGATTTAAGAGATGGCTTTAGACACATAAAAACTAATTCCAACACACAGGGTGTTGTTTACTGTCAAATTTTGACAGCTCACACAGAGTGTCGGAATTACGATTTTTGAAGCACTGTCAAAATTAGTCTCACAATATGTTGCATTTAGTCACATAGTGTCGGAAGTTAGCAATTTTGTAGATTTGAATTCTAAAGGCTTTTAAATAAATATGGCAACAGTTTGTGACATTTCAATTTCATTATTGCTGGCGCATAGTGTGGTTTTTTTGAGAGTGACAAACCAATCAGAACTCGAGTTGCACATACGGTGATTTATTTATAGCCATTTATTTCTTGCTACGTCCTTAGGGTGTTGGAATATGGTGTGTTTACCCTACATCTAATTAGGTAGTCTAAAATTTTAAAACTTGTATTTTAACTTTATGTCATATGGCAATGGCATTAAAGCTTTGGAGGAGTAAGAATTCTTCCCAAATCGTTAAGCACCGCCTTTAAATTTTCCAAACAAGTTTTTGTATCAAAACACTGGCGCTGGCCTACATTGATCAAAAGTAATATATAAGCCACAATGTGAAATTGTGAAGAATTTCATCCTGGTTCAAGCCAGAACTAGAGCTTTCCTATCATTTTTTGAGCCACTTTTTTCCTGCTAGATTGAATTAGGCTAGGCCCATCCCATATCTAATTTTTAATAAAACTGCACTGTCTGCACAATTGGGTCAACTCAATTACTCAACTCACATGAATCCAAATGTTTTTAAAAATGTGTAACTTTAGACTTTTGGATCCACAAGTTTTCATTCATAAGAAAAATTGCAATCTAAGTAGTAAGTAGGTAGGCCTATGCAGCCACAGAGGCAAAGCAGACAAAATTTTTTTTTGCTTGGTTTCCAAAATTCCGAGTCATATGAGTTGGAGTTGAATAGGTGTGTCAGGGTTATCTGACTCCTCATATAAATAAAAAAATTCAAATTCATTTCAAATATATCAGGGAATTAAAAATGAACCAGTTTCTAAAAATCTCGTTTACTAGTACCAACCCCAAGCGCTGATCAACAGCTGACGACTCGTGTAATTCCCATCGAGATTTTGTTAATAATTCAACTACCTAATTAGTGGCAAAATAAGTAATATTCAAGAAATCAGAATATACAATGTCAACTGAAATCAAAAAACGATTATATTAACATGAAAATAACGGTTTGGACTTTGGTCTATAAAATCATTCGAGCGTATGATCATTCATTAGGTAGGTACTGAACAAGCGCCATACAAGATAGAGCAATGCTTTGGTCTGGCTAAAATCGCAAAATTGAGTTTCAAAGGTGAATTCTTGTACACAAAACACAAAAAAAAAGCTCGCGCACACAAAAAAATATATAAAAAAAAAAATTTTTATATACATAATAGTGGCTCACCATTTTTGAGAAGATACTAGAAATAAAATCACTCCCTCAAACCACCGTAAACACTGAACACTAACAGGCCGCGATGTTGCCAAACGAAGAAAACGAAGATGACAATTTCTAAATGCAACTTTCCAAAGTCATGATCACATGCGATCTTGTAAATATTTAATTCATAGAGAAAATGGTCTACTTAGTCTAATCGGTAATTTAATATGTGATATTACTATGATTTTAGGGATAGTAATTGATCTACATCAAATCACACTATCAGACTGCATTGACATAATTGAGTTGCGTCGGCGTTAAACTGTGCGACTTAATTAAGAGAAATAGAGTGGTGTAAGAGAAAATAAGTATTCAATGCAATAACATTTTTACAATACGATAAAGGCAAAATATAACGGTTAACGTTTGAATGTAAAATGTTATATGAAATTTCTTCATTCCTATCGTAGCGGAAGGGGTCAGTTACACAACAATGAAAGTCTTTTCCGGGAGGGATTTTTTTATTAAAATAATGAACTGGGGCTGACATAAACAATTGCAAGCAAGTAATCAAGAAAATATCGATCTTGCACATATCAAATTGATCCCATTGGACACTGACGCAACCGGTCTTCAGACGGCCAAGAAATGGTTCAAATGAGTGAAGGATACGTACACTTAACTTCTATCTGAGTTTCAAGGCAAATTAGAAGTTGCAGGGACAAAATGTAATAAATATTTACCTTTTACAATTTATGAAGTATGCGCAGAACCAATTATAGACAAAAATCATAATTGAACTATATGAACGCTCAAAACGCTCTGGATCCTAACTCATGAAACATACTAATCGAGTTTTGCACTTTACAAGCTGCAGTAATGAAAAAAGTTTTGCGCTGGTAACACAGTACAATATTAAGATGATGTTACATTTAAAAATACGCGTGATCATGCAGGAATAGGGGAAATGTTATACGGCGTGATCGGCAAACAAGGCTGCAGCGCTAACATCAACTCTCCTCGACGGGTATGTCAGCTCGGTTATTGCGAACTCGAGGAACGTCACCTGTGAAAAAATCTACGCCAATTAGGTGCCCACATAAGAAAATATAATCAAAGTGGAGATTTTTCCACCTTCGTAAAAGGAATTGTCTTAGGTTTACTCCGTGTCTGGATTTTAATAAAGATCTTGAACATTCCATGTAAGAAAAAATGCTTCTACATATTTTATGAGCTACTCAATTATTCAACATCATAATTCTTCAAATTTATTGAATGTCAAGCACTATCATAATCTCATCACCAAGAGAATTTTGCATGAAATCATGCGTCGTCTAACACAATATTATATGGGTATTTTATTACGTGATTCCCTAAAACATCAAAAATATAACTCAGTACTCACTGCCGTGAGTGACAGAGAGCGCTTTTTCTCGTCGACGAAAACTTGAGGTCACGGACGGACGGACAGACAGACGGACATGGCGAGCACAATAGTGCATTTCTCCATAAATGAGGAAATGCGCTAAAATTGAGATCTCATATACTGACTACAGTCTCCGGTCGCATGGCAGGGCTCGTGGGAGCAGGAGCCGTCAGCAGGGCTGCAGTAGGGCAGGTGAGGAGGGCAGCGACAGGCTCTGGTGCAGCCCGCCCCCCAGCGGTCTGGTGCACAGCGCTCGCACAGCTCGCCGGCGTAGCTCGCGTGACAGCGGCACTGACCGCGCTGTGCGTGACCAAATTATAACCCTAATAATTTTTCACCGACCAATTTGCAATTATTATACAATTTTCGAACTATTTGAATTGTTATCATCATTTTCACATACCGAATTAGCCTGAATTTTTTACCTATAAATTTAATTCAAGGCGACATTAATGCAAAATAGTAGATAACGCGACTACTGAAGCTCTCAATTTCATTAATATATTATGCCATGAGCCGAAGATAAAATTTGAACACAATAATTTTTTTCCACTCATTTACTCGTATTTAAATCCAGCCCTCGCAAAGTCCTCTACTACAACAATCATGCGTTTCAATCTGCCCTGTTCGTAATTTTGTTTAAGAAATTGTCGATGTTCAAGCCGGGTTATACGTTTTATTTAATAATTTAATTAAACCATCAAATGAAATCTTGAGATAATTTAAAGACGATAAATTAATTTCAAAAGGCAAATGCATTCATCCACTTTAACGAAACTTTTGTGATTCGGTCAGGCAATTACTGACAGCTTTCCAAGCTAAACCCACCAGCCCCAGACGAGAAATCAGCTGTTACGTGTACTTAACATTAAATAAAGTGATCGCTATTATTAAAACTATTGCACTTGCAATTGGGTTGCACTCAGCCGTGCCGGGAGGGGAGCAGGCGCACTGCAGCCGGCAGTTGGGACCGTAGGACATGGGCGGGCATTTGAGGTCGCACTTGATGCCATACCGTCCCGCAGGACACTCACAGAAACCGTAGTGCAGGTTGCACCGATTACCTGGGCACTCGTTGGGGCACGACTTGGTGCAGTTGGTCCCGTAGAATCCTGGGCAATTAAATAATCGAAAAGTTGTCATTGGTGGTGCATGATTTAGGTGGCATTATGACCGGTTTAAATTGGTGATATAAGATGCTCCATTCTACATGTGAATAATCTCATGCAATTCGCTGTATTCATTTTTTTATATATAAAAACGCAACCAATGAGTAAAATTGGTATAAGGTTTTGGAGGAGTTGTTATTCACGTAATATGTTGATTTTGAAATCCTATACATTCGGATATTTCAAAATTTAATTCATTAACAAATGATAAAACACCAGTATGAAACTATGCCCTTGTAAATCAGTACGAAAATATTCAATATTAGCCTAAATGCGATCGATGAGAGCACTACCCGCTGGGCATCCAATCTGGCATCGGTCCCCCTGTACCCCGGGCGGGCAGATGCAGGCGCCGCTCTCGCGATCACAGGACGCTCCGTTGTCGCAGTCACACGCCTTGCTACACGAGGGCCCGTACACACCCGCGGGACATCGCTCGTCACACCGCGCCCCCATGAGCCCAGCAGGGCACTGACATACACCTGATGGGGTGCACTCGCCCGGACACTCGCCCTCTTGTGTCCCGGGCTTACATTCTGCAAGACAAAAATGTACGGACAAGTTCTGAAGATAATATTTTGAAATTCAAAGCTGATATGTAGCTCTCAATTACCATTTCAGATCTCACGAGAAATTTTGGTCGTTGCTAAAGAAAAAGTGGACACGTCTGCTCAATTATTTCAATACTTTCAGACATGCGTTTGGAAAATCTATGGGTATTTTCCGCCATTGACTTGAAGCACTTTTCATTGCACTGGAAATGTCTCAAACGTTCACCTGTGACGACAATGGACGTGTCGACCTGCTCACGAGTGGTGAGAATATGTTGGAAATTTTGCTCAAGTTTTGTCAACGTCTCCTGGTCGAGGACGTTAAGTTCTACGTCACCAGGGACGCGCGTGCGTCCTTTACTGCGTCGCAGCGAGGGACGTCGACGTCTTCCTTCAGGACGCTGCCCACTGCCGCTCTCCCACAGTTCTTCTTCCTCTGCAAGTCAAAAAAAGTTTATACAGTAAAATAAGCTATATATAAGGTTTATCCCTACAATGCTCCCAGGTTTTCGATAAAAGAGGCTAATATGGCAACACCGTATATTTGTAGGTGAAGTTAATAATTGAACTCACGTGTGTGATGCACGGTCACGTTCTGGTCATGGGACGGTGTGGTGTCATCAAACTGAGTGCGTCTGTGAGTAACGCGCAGGCTGTAGGGAAGGTCCTGGTCACCGCGGTTACTCACTGAGGTGTAGTCATCGTAGTCGTCGTAGTCTAAAGCACGAAATTGATAAGTAAGACAGTGTTACACCAAAAAAATAATATAAAATAATAAATTGAAATAAAATAATAAATCAAAATGAAGAAATTAATTACAATAAAATGATAAATGAAAATAATTATTTAAGAAAATATTACTAAATTAAAGTTAAATTATAAATTAAAAAAAATACTAATGTGCGATATAATAACATAACAGGTTAAGCTTCATAGGAGAAATTATAAGTGTAGCAGGATTGATGGTAAAAAGCAAAACTTGGTTAATTATCCTTTCACCAAACAGGATTTAAGAGAAATACGCTTTACATACGTTGAAACTGATACCTTGAAAGGCTCACCAATGCACGAGTATCTGTCAAGGAGCCTCAACTAGACCCACCAATGCACGAGTATCTGTCAAGGAGCCTCAACTAGACTTACCAATGCACGAGTACAGTATCTGTCAAGGAGCCTCAACTAGACTCACCAAAGCATGAGTATCTGTCAAGGCGCCTCAACTAGACTCACCAATGCACGAGTATCTGTCAAGGCGCCTTAACTAGACTTACCAATGCACGAGTATCTGTCAAGGCTGAGGGTGAAGCCTATCTCGCAGGAGCAGGTGTAGCTGCCTGCGCTGTTGATGCATTCCTGCTGGCACACTCGCGGTACGTGGGAGCACTCATCGATGTCCTACCGCAGCAAAGACGTCAAATTAAGTTTTTCAGTAAAGAATTAGAATACATTTATAGGGATTTAAATAATCAGTAACACTCAGAGAAACAACCCAACTCCCCTGAATATATTTGGAAAACACAATTCGCGTTTATGGTAAGCTGTTCATCTTAATGTTATCTAACGTAACATTTAATATTTTTTCAAGTATCAAGCAAGCATCTGCTCACGGAAAATTATTCCACTATTAAAGCTGATTCCATGATCAGATCCTAATAATATTCTATCAAAGCTGATTCCACGATCTGATCCTAATAATATTGTAGAGTCAGCACTCGTCTGCTCTGACACTCACACTGCAGGTTTTGTTGTCAGGCATGAGGGCGTAGCCCGCCTGACAGAAGCAGCGGGCGCCGCCCCGCGTGTGCTGACACAGCTGCTCGCACCCACCGTTGTCACCAGCACACCAGTTGTCAGGACCTGTGATAGTGTCAGATGATGGTGGAGTGGTCAAGGTTAATGGTGATGATATGGTGGTGCTGGTGAAGCCACGGTGATGATATGGTGGTGCTGGTGAGGCCACGGTGATGATATAGTGCAGTTAGCGAGACCACGGTGATTTGTTGGCGAGGTCATGGTGATGATATGATGTGTTGGTGAGGCTTCAGTGATTACATGGTGGAAAACCATTGTGAAAGAGATCAGTTTGATCGGCTTTCTCAATATCATCTGCATTACTTACACCCTTCATGCTTAGCTGTACTAACGGTTTCTACATCAACAACATTAACTTGCGAGGAAATTAAATTTTTATTTTAAAGGGGAAAAAGACCGAAGACAAAAATAAATAGCAGTAAAAACTTCACCTGAAATATGCAAGAAATTCATGTATTACTGAACCTATAATACATTAGCTGCTATTTATTTCTACTGGAACCACCAGACAATTTCTAGGACAATTTCATCTCGACCGAAAATTCAGACTTCCGATTGCCACTGAAGTCCAAGATCACATGCAAAGTCGAAAGGCTCAACTCACGAAATAAAACCTAACATTACAAATAGCAACCACACTTGTCAGAGTACACGTCACACAATAATTTACCAGCAGAGGTTCGAGGCTATCAGGAAACTGGCATTTATTTCCGTGTACAAAATATCGAGTAAATCCACTAGAACAGGCACACGTTGTTTCGTCACCAGCCGAAATAATATCGCAAAGGACAACAAGACAACAATAAAATAGTATAGATCACTCACGGTAACAAGTAGTCTTGTCAGGACGCAGCCGGTATCCAGGATAACAGGAACACTCGTAAGAACCATGCGTGTTGATGCAGAGTTGACTGCACGGGCTGTTTGTTGTTCGACACTCGTCCAAGTCTTCACACGCTGTACCGTCTAGAGAAAGAGCTAGACCTTTAGGACAGAGACATCTTTTGCCGTCTGGTGACTGTATAAAACCATCTTTACAGACGCAGTCGCTGCTGTTAGAAGATTTGCGGAAACCAAAAGGACATCCGCAGGTCTGTCCATCAGGCTGCCGTATCAAGTTTCGTGGACAGACACACGTCATTCCTTCGGGCGAAGGTTCGAGCCCATCAGGACATTGGCATTTTTTACCGTGCACGAAACTTCGGATGAATCCATCAGGACAGACACAGGTTTTTCCGTCATCAGACGGAATAAGATCGTCAGGACAGACGCATGTCTTGTCGTCAGCAGCGAGGGTGAAGCCTCGGGGGCAAATACACAGAGCTTGTCGGTTTCTGGGCACGCACGTATGACTGCACTCAGCTCCATCACACGGATCCTTCACTTCGCAGCTCTGACCGTCAGCAGTCAGGGTGTAACTGAAAGGGACTAAAATTAAATAGAGATCCAAGCAAAACCAATTGTTGTATATGACACATTTTAGAGACATTTGTAAGGCTCAAAATGCAATGTTTCAAATTTTCTGTAGTTGACAGAACGATAAACGAGCAGTAACATGAATATAAATAAAGATTATTAAAAAACGTTTAAAATTGGGTTTAGTTTCGAAATTTCAGGGGTCGCCCGCTACACTAGTAACAAATTCGAACTGTGTGGAGTCATAAGAGTAAAATGTATCAATAAGGAAGATAAATAATGTGAAGTTATAGTAAACAATCAGTTCAAATGATATTGCGGAGTGAGCAGCTCGCACCCAGGCCTGCAGGAGCATTGCGGGCCGTCGGGGCGCGGTCGGCACTCGTGTTGGCAACCGCCGTTGCCGATTCTGCATCCCGTGAGATAATCGCTGCCTGTAGAAGGGCACATTAATGGGGTACATCAAACACTTTCTTATGTCATTACCATCAACGCAAAATTATTACTGACAGTTGTCCAAGCTAAACGCCAACGCAAGCAATTGTTGTAATTGCTGGTGGTGGCTGATCCTAAAGTTACCTTAAAATTCACTTACATCTCAAACGCGTATCAATATATAAATAAATTGCCGTTTAAAAAGCAGAAACAACGTTGCTGAGCGTGCGATTACTGCAATAATAAATATAACTCAGTACTCAATGCAGTGAGTGACAGAGAGCGCATTTTTTCGTGGACGGAAACGTGAAGTCACGGACGGACGGATAGACGGACATGGCGAGCACAATAGTGCATTTTTTTCATAAATGAGAAAATTCGCTAAAAATGCTTGAGATATGCAAACTTAATGCAACGTAGATTTACATGCAAATGCCTCATGAAAATTTTTCACAAGACACGGTGAAGTTGATACCTGACGAAGAAATTCCGATGATAGTATTGAATTGCTGTAAATAATGGCAAAATTTAAGTATCAATTTAAAAACTTGATAATTTGAGTCTATATATGGGAAGTTTACACGTCCTGCGGCAATCGAGCAGCCGTCATGAAAGTGGTCATTTGTCGGTCCTGTGTAGACGAAAAAAGAAAAATGAAATGTGTTAAAAATTTCTATAACTAAAAAATGGCGGAAAAAGTTGAGTCTCACTGGCGCAGGTCCAGTTGTCGAGGCGAAGATGGCCACGGAGGCAGAAACATTGGTAGGAGCCGGCGGTGTTGCTGCATGTGTGGGAGCAGCCGCCGTTGTGCTTGCTGCATTCGTCAATATCTGTTCGGAAATGACGAGAGACATTTCAGCAATAAAATACATTTCAGCAATTGCAAATTAAAGCTCTGGAATACAATTACTGTAGGTTGATTACTAATATATTTTACCTTCACAAGATCGTCCGTCTTCGGCCAGCCGGTAGCCGGCATCACAACAGCAGCGGTAAGAACCCAACGTGTTTTGGCAGGTATGCGCGCACCCTCCTTTGTTCTCAGCGCACTCGTTCACATCTAAAGTAATATAATTAAACTTATGTAAATTCCCTAATGTTGATCATAGAGCACAATACCTTTACTGCTTGACACTCTCTTGTTAAATAAAATTCAATGCATATATATTAATCATATTGTACTACTGTAGATTAAGCAGTTATCATAATTATGAAGCTTACGTTTGAGAATCGGAATATTTCGTTTAAACGCATAATAGACAACACAAACATCTACTATGCTTCACATTTCAGCTACGAACAGACATATGCGAAATGTACGTGCGAGCCAGCTGATTTCATGTGCAAAGATGCCCAACATATTTCTTGTTCTTCATAAAAAATTCGTTCTGTAAACTTCGTCGTGTTTACCTCCGAGACCCAAAAATACTGACCATATTGACAATGCCGGCCATGATAACCAGGAGGGCACACACACTGATTGAAGACGCACTGGCCTCCGTTGTAGCAGACGATGGCAGCCGTGCTGCTATCCGCACACTTCCATATACAGGAAAACAGCAACGCGATTAGCGGCACTGAAGCCAGCCACCCTCGCATTGCGTGGGCAGGGCTTCGTCTTTATTAGAAGAAAGAAGTGTGTTTTTAAAGTTGATATATGCTCTAATTCTGGAACAGGTAATTTTAATTATAAGTGTTGTTTTATAAACAAAATTGAACGAATTTTTTGTGATTTTGACTGATCACTTCTACTACAATAACAACGTCGAGTTAGACCGCAATAGTTGTAATACTTTTCGGTGATCGGTCACTATCACCAAGCTAATTCTGGCATAACCGAGAGCCCAAACACTGCGTTCATTGCAACATCCTGCAGTACACGGCATTATTTTTGTAGTATAATTAAAAACAACAGGCTTCGCAGACTGGATCTTTGAATTGGGGACAGTTTTTTAATCGATCTTTCACCAAAACCAACGTATTTCGTAATTCGTCAGTGAGCGCGATTCCCAGAACGTCACAAAACCCCTCATTTCAAGATTAAAAACGACCAGCTAATTCTGTAACAACCCTAACAACTAACCGAAATCGAAGCTAATGAGCTGTTGTCTCGTCAAACGGTCAGACGAGGCACTTGTTACACTCAAATCTACAGCGGCTGTAGGTAATCCAACTATGTACTAGTTACGGGAAAATTTTATGTTCAGAATATTTAGCCACGAAAAAAAAACAAAAAAAAATATAAATCTATTTACATAATAGAATACGAAATTTAAGAAGATAATTGAGCCATAATAAAAAATAAATAATCAATTCAACCAAACGAGCAAACATCATCGGCCAATTGAAATGCAATTTGCAACCTAACTTGACATTTATTGCGTGCACAGCTTGAAACTTTGTAAGTCAGCGTATAAGAATGTCATTGAAAATGTACAATCACATTCGAATTTATAAAAGTTTATGCAACGAATTTGTTTTAGATGCTATTTTAATTTTCATCTTCAAAACTGTACGAAATGCATTTCAATAAAGTAGACCTGGCTAATCTGAGTAAATGCACACATTTTTGCACATAAATTACAGTGAGAGAATATTTTTGATGATACTTTGCTGGAAGAAGCGTGTAATATCATGAAATGTTGATTCAACGCGAATCATCTTGTTAAGAGATTTGCTCATGCTAACCAACGAACAAAGGCACGGTCGCAATGAGTCGCACCACCACCCTGCATGGCGTCTGACCTGCGACTAACAAGATCTGAATCTTGAGACGAGGAAGAGTGCGTCTCAAGGAGCGTCAATTGGAGCTCATGGCTGGTGCATCTCGCCACTTCACACTAGATTGATTAGCGCAACTCTCGCCGCAGTATTCTTTATATACCAGCTCTTTCATACCCTCATCTGTCTGACGTATCGTGAGATGAATTCGATCTCTTAGTTTACTATGAAGTCGTTAAAGGATCACTCTTCTGTTTACGTGATATGATCTAGGTAAATAAATTGGTCATTGACGTATGAGAAGAAATTACATTTATATTGAATATTCAGGGGGACTCTTTCGTACACGAGCATTCCTGATCTAGCATGATCGGTGTAGCAATCAATGTATTCTCTATTTCGACCTTGAGCTTCAAGCAAGTAAAAACTTTTGTCGAAACATTTTCTAACACAAACTTGAGTAATATTTTAGCATTATAAAGAAATTCCAATTTACGGGGCATTGCAAATAATTTGCAAATTCCCATATACGGGGAATTGCAGAAGTCAAATAAATGCATTGCGGAATGAAGTCCTGAAATTGTCTAATGTCCAAGTCTTTTCTCGACCTAAAATTCGAGGATGCAAAAGAAAACGCTACGAACCTCAAATTTATTCAATGTTTGACACGAGGTAAAACGAAGTTAATTACAGACACCGTCATGTAGATTTGAAAAATATTAGGTTGAACTTTTAGGTTTATAACATGGAAAAATATATGCACCCAAAATAAGGTCTTGCCTTACTTAATTGTCGTAAAAAAATTGACGAAAACTGCGAACTACGGAAGACTCACTCAAGTCGAGAGTTCAAATTTCCAAAAGTATATGAGGAATTTAGTTCAACCAATGAACGTGATGTTGCGCGTTAAAAACAAAACAAAAGCTTTTGTCCGTGTTAAATACATTTTACTATTGCGGGAGTGTCACCAGAGTCGCAGGCTTTTCATTACTAAATGGAATGACGAAAGCAAACGATCAACATCTGATACGAGAAAGAAACAAGGGTTTTCCTGAGAGGACTTGATTTTTAATCAGAAGCAAATGAAAGGAAATTAGTTTTTTCAAACAATAACAACGTCCACGTAAATTATTTAAAGCAAGGAGAAATTTGATCAAGCAGATTCTCTGGCATTCAGGCGATTGGTAAATACGCGGTGAAATTACTCACGGCTAACAGAAGTTTTTGAGGGGCAACTGGCGTCCCGGAAGAGATGCATTTCGCACACAAATACGACATGAAAATATGGAATCAATACAAGAAAACGACGAACGAGCACATCTCCAAAATAACTGAAACTGGTAAAAGCTACGAAATTTTAATTTTAGGAAGAACCAGAACTTTCCATTCGTCAAAAACAGGAGCAAGACTCGAGGCAACAGTGTGCAGAGATTGGAGCGGAACATATGAACAGCAGCAAGGAGAGTCGTAGAGATCTATTTAGGCCATCAGCAGAAAGTGCAGTCTATAAAAATTTAAAACCAGCAGCAACGATGGTCGTGAAGAAACTTATAAGCTGCAGCAGGAATAAACGTGAAAAAGTTCAAGAAGCAGCGGGGCTAGTCTTGAAAATACAGGAAGGGTATCCCAAATTTTTTTTTCAACTTATCCTGAATAAGATGTAAATTGACAAAAATTTACTATAAGAACTTAATGAGGACACGACGCAAAGCCCAATATTTTTTGCGAATTAATAAGAAAGATTATGATATAAACTATAATTAGAGTACTCGACATCGTGGTGAAAAAATATATCGTTCACAGAAAAATGCTTTTAGGATCATAATCAAGGATTTTTTTGCCATATTCGTAAGCCAAAAACAGACTGGAAAAGTAAATAAGAAAAATAGAACAAAATGCAGCTTAACTAAAGCTTTCACGGACCATCGCATAGTAGTTCTAAAGCAACAGTGAGATAACGTCAGAACTTAATTGTGACCAACAGAATATAATATGAAGGTAATTCACACTCGCACGTCTCGTAATACAAAGAAGAGCTCCCGTGTGTGCTGTAAATTGACGTAAAAACTAATCACCTTCACATAAAATACATCAGCAATAACTTAATTTGTCAGTAATTATTTCTCGTATCAAGAAACCTCAGCACGTATCCAACAAATGCAGCTTGGTCGAATGCAAGCAGGATAATGAAATTCATCATTCACGCAGCTGAATTCTCCTCATTCTATAACAAGTTCACGATTCAATACATCTATTATTAAATTTTCTTAGAATAGTCTGATTTGCAAACCCTTATGAGTGTTTATCTATTGCCACATAAATATATGATAAACGAGATAAGCGAGAAACAGATTTCAAGAGTCTAGAAAATAAAACATTAGGAAATTATTGTGACGACATCATGCTATGCTAATAAATACGCCGTATTGACTAGTAAAAACCTTCACTTTTAATGGCATTTCAAATTACTAATAGAAAAATTTATGTACACACATTTTTAAAAAAATAGCGCTAAAAATTTTGTGCTTTATTTGAAATCTTCTTTCTGAGACGAACATCACCGCTTTCAAGAGGAAAGTTTCTAGCAATTATATCTTTCTGGATTCAATTAGTGAAACTTTACATTCAAGACATAGAACAAGCGAATCCGATATTCCTGGATAACTCGTTTCAACACAAAACTCTGCCTCTGCGACATAGAAAACGACCTACTTCATCCGTAAGCTCATTATATTATCGTTGGAGTTATCTTCACTACAGTACAAGCCTATTATCGTTAGAGTGGTCCATCCAAAGCGCCAGCATACGGATATACGAGGCAGGCTAAGGCACTTACGAGAAGACTAGTAGAACCGTCAAGAACTAAAGTTAATATTGAAGACATTAGCACTCACACTTATTATTGATTATGAGCAATATTGCTTATACTTAGTACCACCCCTCTAACTAAACCAGGTAATCTGTTGAATAAAATCGCGTATAGGTGAAATCAACGTGCTGCTCAACCAGAGTTAAGGATAACTCACCATCTAATTAATCTGCCAAAATATAAAGATATCGACAATACATTTGGGTGAACATAAAGCTAAATTTTATGCTACACCACAGTGGGCTACAGTAGCAACACAATGATGCAATTTTGTCACCCCCAGCAAGTTCAACATAACTTTGGGCTTACGCAAAATTGAACGTACGTGAGGACGTTAAATTTCAAGAAGGACAGGTAATAAATTGACATTACGAGTGCCTGCCACGACCAGCGGGCTCGAGGTCGGCCTGTCGTGGAACTCTCTGGCAGCCGCGTCGGGTCAGGTGAGCGCAGAGGCTGGCAGGGACGAGTGCTTGGGCTTCTCCTTCTTCAGAAAAACTCGGATGCAGCCGTGGAAGTCCGCCGACACAAGCATGTACCTGGCAAGTATGACGAGGATTTAAGAACAAATTATAATTTACACAGTGAATAAACTTTTCATTCGAAAATGTTAACGTAGAATCACTAGGCGGTAAATAAAAAATCTAATAACTATTAAATTTTCCTAAACTGAAGATAAGAGCTCTGAAATAAACTCAATCTCTTAATATCTACCACTGTAGTGAGAAGAGCGCTTGACACCCAACTTCAACAACCTACCGGAAAGCGTGATGTGACCTGGAAAGACTAATTGTACAAGCACTTCAACAAGTTAGGTATTAGTTCGAGTAAGTGTACAACCCCCTCGAAGTGTCCGTGTACCACAGTCTACCCAACCCATGAAGTTTTAAGCACCACCTTGAGTAAATATACACACCAGACACAGTGTACAGGTGCTGATGTACCATAGTTTACCCACCCCTTATTGTGGCCGAGGCTATCGTGTTTGTGCTGCTTGTCAGTCCTCGCAGAGTCCGGCGTCGCTTCGCAGGCCGCTCGCTGCTCCTGCAGTTCGATGAAGCTGAATACGAGCTCAGGATGCGGTGAGAAGAGGGCGCACGTCACCATGGCATGGTGTGCTGGAGAATGCATTGATTATCTCCAGGCATGTAATTTGGTGAGAATGTTTACAATTATTTACAGACAAAATGCTTGTAGACCGTTAACGAGAATGGCACAGAGCATTTCATTGAGATGCTAAATGGGGCTTAAAGGGAAAATGATAGGGCTGAAGTAGAAAACACTCACAACGCAATTAAAACAAGACACATGGAAGTATTGCGTAGCTCACCCTTGACACCCTCCCAGTAAGCGTTGCGATCACGTCTGGCGGTGGCATTAAACTTGCCGTAGTCGTGGTGGGTTTTCCAGAGGTAGATGCAGGGATTCTCGCTGCCCGCCACGATGTACTTGCCGTCGTGACTGAAGCTCGCACGAATTTGGCTGCTGGGGTTGTTGAAGCCGCGGTACTTGCAGTGCTCGCTGTGCTCGTCGAGACCGTACAGGCGAATGCGACTGTCGTTACTCGTCACCAGAATCTGAAGTAAATAACGAAGGCATCTTCATTAATAAAGCCAGTTTAATGCTTATGAATGAAACTTTAATGCAGTAGAAAGAAATTGTTAGAGTAACCTCTTGATACGTTCAAGAGTGATGGGAACGAGAAATGAAGAGAGATCTAATATAAGAAAAGTTTACGAGGTAACACACATTCATTTAAATTTGGTGTCATAGAATACCGTTTTATGGTTGAGAGAGAGAGAGAATCGTAAGATCAGGAGGTACATGAGAAAATTGCTAGGTAAAACCGCTCAAATTTTTTATATTCACGCAAGAGCGATTCTAGACATTAACATAAAGGTAAAAACGCACTTTATTTTCGCCAGGTAGAGGCTCAATGCCCGTGATCTTGCGCCCTCTTGGGTTCTTGCCACGAGCGGAGCGCACGTTGAACTGCGTGTTGTATTTGAGTTGGTTGGTCGTGTAGAAGAGACAGCGTCCGTCGTACGTCCCTACTACAGTGTACGCTCCATTCTGCACATAATTAACACACATTTGTTCTTATTTGCTTACATGAAATAAAGGTCATCATTTACGAGTACGTTAGGGACATTTAAATAGACAGCATATGGCTGACGACATAACACTGAGACTGTTAATCGTATTCATTACATCTAATAAGGTATAAAAGATGCAAAACATTTGCAAAAAACAAATCTTCAAAGAAGTTGAATAATAGAACTCTATTAATACACATCAAAATAGATGCATAGAAAGAGTATTTGATGCATAGTCATAGAGTTACCTGGCAGAAATTAGCGGCAGTTATAAAGGCTCCCTCGACCTCGGTCCAGAGAACGACACGCTTCTCAGGGATGCTCCAGAGGCGCAACTTGCCGTCTAGAGACCCAGAGATGAAGTACCGATCGTCCTGGGGGTGAAAAATATCAACTTAATAAATAAAATTATCAATGAATCGTCTTGGATATAAGCATATAAAATATCAACTTAAAAGAATTATCAATGAAACCCTTATCACAAAATGCAGGCTTTCATTATTTTATTTGTATTCAAACTAATGAATAATTTGAAGTTTTGAAAATTCAGGACTGGGAAAGGGTGTCAAACGGAATAGTTCACCTTGGGATGGAAGGCTATGGCAGTGACGAAGTCGACGTGCTGGAAGATGCACAGACATTCCTTGCGGCTGATGTGCCACAGCCGCACCGTCTTGTCCATGGATGAGGTGAGCAAGAAGTAATTCTGGAGAAGTAACGAATTGCATAATAAATTCTGTACATGAAGGAGGTCTCTCATCGCATAGCTAATTTTGCCAAGAGTAAACTGGCAGGCCCGAAATTGCACACGGCCGTGATTGTTGCATTGATAAATAATAGAAAATTAATTTTTACTGACGGTAATTACGGACACTTGTTGCGATAAAAATATGAACCTGCTTTAGCAATGAGTTGTCCAAGATAGTTTAAGATATCCTGATTTGTTCCAACAATGCTCATATTATTAAATACCATTCGAAATACTGCACCGTTCTTATATTGTGATAATTAATTTTTCAAAATTAATTGGCTCGATTATTGGCGTTTGCAATTATAAACACAATTTGTTATATAAAAGAATTAACCTTGATGAATTAAAGCCTAACAATGCACAAGAAAAGAGAGAACCGTTCGTATTAATTTCTGAGAGCGAACCTTTGACCATGCAATATCGAGGAGGTCAGCAGAGTGCCCTTGGTAGACACAAAAGGGGCGCGGCATGAAAGGCGAATGGCCGCTGTCGGCCGGGTCCAGGTGGCCGGGATCATCTGCAAGTCCTCCTTCCAGGCCAGATGAACTTAGGCTCTCCTCAGACGGCGTCGGTGACACCTACGGTGCAGCGAGGACAATTCTATATTTAAAGAGATGAAAACTTTTTATAGACGGTAATTTCAACTAAAGCTTCATTTCTGCCAATGCCAACGAGTAACGTAAGATTTCCCGCAGCCAAGGAATTGCTTAGAAATTGTAATATAGGCTTATTGATTCGGAAATACGCACGGAAGGTAAATTCCTCATGGAACACTAATGAAAAATTTTGGCGAACAAACAGTTAATTTTGATTAGTTGTAAAAATAAAAAATTATACGCGATTAGAAAAGGTTATTGGTAGGTTAATGGCGCATATAAAGTCGTTAATGGAGCATATAGATGTCGTTGATGGTTCGCCTTATCATGGACGGAGGAGACTCAAATGAAAATAAAATAAAGTCAAGTAAGATAAATATTTATTTACAACTGTCTTTTGAGCGACATGGACTCGGAGATTCCGAGCAAGCAGCCTGATACCGAATAAGATTAGTTTATTAATCAAGTTCGAATACATACACGAACGGTTTAAAGGCACACTATTTGATAATAGGCTCGTACTGCGCCAGAAAAAGCAAATGTCTAACGATAGCCTAATCAGCTACCTAACAAATAAAAAATTCTGTTTGCTGATTAACTGTGCAGGCAGCGACATAATGTTGATCATTACGTACCTTGAGGTCCGGGTTGTATTTGCTGCGGATGTCGAGGAAGAAGCTATAAGCTTGCTTGATGACCCAGACTCGCAGCAACTGATCCTGGCCAGCTGTGGCGAGCAGCCGTCCGCACAAACTGAATTTGGCGCACCAGATGGGCCCCTGGTGCTCACCTGCAAGTTATAACATTGCTTTTGCATGAAAATGGGCCCGTACCAAACAACGGTAACGCGATACCTACACAAAAGCAATAATAATGTAATTGGCAGAAAGCAAGGCAGTGAAAGAACAGTAAATGTGACAAGCACGAACATTACACGAGACAAGCAGGCACGCCAACTAATATACAAGATGGGATAGAATCAGAGCTATGAAAGCAGGCTAAAAACGAAAGAAGATGCAAATTTAAATTCAAATTAATGAGGAAACCTTTGAAGCTAAAAATCTTTAGGTTCACTAAAATACAATTGAGATCGAATTTCATAACTATTGACTAACAGAAAAGGTGGATGAATAGAACAATTCAGAGAGATTGGTACAAAATCTTCGAGTGAGATCCAAGCACAGTCGAGAACTGAGGAAGTTTAGGAAATAAATTTTCAGGAATCAGATACATTATCGTGTGAGACTCACCTGTGATCTCCTGAACATACATGAGATCGTCCCACTCGTGAGGACCCTTGTGACCATGAGCTGTTTTGATCTGAGGGAGAAAGCAAAATAAAGAACCCGGTCCATACGATTTACCTAGCAAAACTGAGTCGTTAATGATATAAAGCGAAATTTTTCTATAATCCAAATAACCAATAAAAAAACTGCTTCATCAATGGTATAAAGGACAATGTTTCTATAATATAAATAACCTATTTCAAAACTGAATCATCAATGATATAAAGCACAATGTTCCTGTAATACAAATAACCTACATCAAAACTGCATCATCAATGCTATAAAGGAAAATGTTACTATGATATCAGCCACCCTGTAATATTACTTAACACGTTGAGGTCCCACCTTGACGTACGTTCCTGTGCGCTGCGTGGGCGCGTCATCAGCGAAGACATCCTTGTCATCGGAGCGCGATTTGATGGTCTTGGCGGCCTTGCGCATGGCGGGCGTGACGCGCTTCTCCAGCAGCTTCTTCATGCGACCGCTGCAACATTTATTTGCTATTATTATTATCATATTAACATGAGATATTATTATTATTGGTAATATGAAATATTATTATTATTATATTATCTCCAGCAGCTTCTTCATGCGACCGCTGCAACATTTGGTTGCTATTATTATTATTATACAAAGCAATTGTTGCGGCGTCAGGATCAACCGAACTTCGAGGGCACGTTACTTATAAGTTCGATGATATAAATTGTAGTTTCAAAACACCATGAAAAATAAATAGTGGTTTTAGATGCTTTGTGTGCGCTATAAAATTATTATCTATTTCAAGAAATAGTAGGTATCATCTGCGCCAATAAATTGCTAGTTACTTTAAGACGCCTATGTCCAATGAATAAGCTATTCCGAGAAGTGCACCATTAAATTAATAGCTATTTAAAGACGTCATGCCAGCGCAGTTTATTATTTGGCAATGTCAAGCAGCCATACGCTCGCTTTTAAATATTATTTATACATAAATAACGCAACACCCGTGCCATGAAGTCAATAAATTTTAATTGAAACAACAATAAACTTCGTCAATGATCGTGTATTATTCTACCCTTTACAACACATAAAGATAAAATTGTTCACTTGTTATAGTCTTATTCCTGCCTATACAATATTTAGAGCTGCGAAGGATGAACACTACCACGACAATATCACTAATTAACAAATTATATATTTTATAGATTAACCATGTGTTTCATAGAATGCGACTCACTTTACCAGTGATCTTGCTCTAAATCACCACAATTATTCATTGAAACAGAGAACGAAAGTAAATAGTTACTGACGTGGTCTTAGAGAGGGCGTGTGAGAGCTGCTGTATGGAGTCTGTGTCGCTGTCGCGGCCGCTGCTCGCTATGCTGCTCGTGTCGTCGGAGTGGTCGCCTTCCCCGGGCCTGAACACACATTACAATCATGCATTGATGAAGTCTACTCACATAAAAACAATACAACTTAAGCATATTACCCAACCGCCTGGTGGCAAAACACATACAACGTCAAGGAAATTGAAGAAGCCAAATGAAAAAAAAACCTTCAAGGAAGTATTCAAGTAAGTAAATAAATAAATTCAAGAATATTTCAAGTAAGTTGGAATAGTCATAATTTCGGCTACCTGTCCGTGAGTCGCATTATCTGCAGGCTCAGAGGGTTGACGGGATTGGAGTTCATGGAGACGGCTTGGTTTAGATTAGTACGAATCCCGGTGTCCAAGTCCACTAGAGGGACTTGGGATAAAATTTCCTGAAAAAAGGCAGGAAACAAAAATTTGATAAGAAATTGTTTGTAATTTGATAAAGCTTCATGTGAACTAATTTCTTCCACAAGTTCTATTTACATCCGATAGCTTTGTGGCGAGCTGTGCGGTGTGTTTAAGATCAAAGATGCTGGCAACGCTACGTCCAATGGGACGAACAAAAACGTGGTTAGAAAGACCTACATAAAGGAGCCAGGCAAATATATGACATTCATTAGATATTTAGGTCGAAATTTTCAAGTTTTCATTTCTAACTGGCTGATTGTGAGTTACAAACAACATTACGGACAAACGAGCCAATTTATTATCATTGGATGTACAACATTAATCACAGGAAATGCTCTTGTAAGTGAAATATCTGAACCTCATCAACCAACTCACCTGGTCTGAATCTGAAAGCGGGCTGATGCTATCTTTCTTCTTCTTCTTTTCTGCAAGATAAATGAGTAGTGAAAATAAGACGCATATAATTCTATAAAAATCTTCAAAAAGTCAAATCCGCAGACGAGCAGAATTAAAAAGAGCGGCACAAAATGATTACTAATTTAAGACCTTTAACCTTTCCTACCTACTTGACATCCTGAGGCCATGTTATCAAAACTTACTGGAGTCCCTACACGTTGCTGTTCAAGTACAAGTAATGTACGATATCTCGTCTGTGATTGGTTAAGTTAGCGTGAAAAGCAGTCAGTGATAGACAGCCGGAGTAAGAACTCTTAACTAACTGGCATAGGTACTGTAGCTGCGCAACTCAGGCTTCATTTGTTTGCCCAGGGTTCAGCTGGTAACGAGCGAAGCGGGCTGCCTTCGCTTTAGGCTTTCTTTTACTGATCATGTTTTGAAGTGGCCATTGAATTGCGTGCCGTAATTTTTAATTAGTTATTTGTACCTAAGGCTCAGACTATCAAGAGTTGCTTCCCATCTCGTTGCACACTAGTTGGTGTTGCTTTAATTTCTGCTGAAATATGTCTTGGCCTCATTTTTGAGTGGCGGGTGGACGTGGGCATCTGATTCCATCCATAGTGGGCATCTGATTCCATTTATCTCTTTATGGTTCGCATGGAATCTAATCGTCAGCGAGCTGTCACTGAATCGAAGGAATTCAGTGAAGAAAAGAAACTAGTGTGCCAAGAAGATGCTCCATACTCATCGGTGACGGAGGGACTTCTGGTTAGAGAGGAGATAATCATCTCATTTTTGGAAGATTTGAGCAGATTTGTCAGCAGGAAGTGGTGTCGAAACTTGCAGCTTAGAAGAAATCCCAAATTTTGTATACGTCTCGTGCTACAGTTTTTATTTCGGTTTAACTTCATTTATAGTCGGCATTGTATTGGCATAACGTTAGATTTTTTATGATCTGGTTCTTATGGTTTTCAAATATAACTCCATGGCCTGGCTGTCAACTGTTTTGAGTTAGTCTCGTCTTCTCACTATCCCGTTGGAGATATATGCTGATGAGCCTGTATAGCCTGTATATGTTGATAGCTCTCCCGCAACAGTACTAATAATACTACTACTACTAATAATAATAATAATAATACTAATACCAACTCAGATGATACGTCTTCTGAACAGCTAACAGATGATTTAACCGTGCTTAAGTAACAACACTCGTGTGAGCAAGAATCCAATAATATCTCAAAACATATTTGTAAGTTAAAAATAAAGAACCAAAAAATTAATATGCAGTAAAGAAATAAAATGTAACTAAAACAATGGAACATAATTATTAGTCTGCCCGTACTACAAGTTATTGGAAAGCAGGCAAGGGAAGTGCATATGCTCACCGGTGCGGTGGCTGGAGTGGGACGAGGTGTGGGTGCACGCGTTCTCGTCCGGTGACCCAGACGGCGACGACCGTCCCGAGTCCTGAAACAACAATAAATTAATTAATGGACAATCATCAGTACAATAAGCTGGTAACACTCACGCATAACTAGAGATTTGTGTCTTATTGCACAGAAGTTTAAAAGAATGGCGTGGGAATATCAATAATCCTTAAACGTGCTGAAGCAACGCGAAATCATTCCGTGCTGACAAACATTGCACAAAAATCCATACAAATATGAGATTTTTATAGGTTGAGGGATACGCAAATTTGAGTCATAAAAAAATAATTTAAAAATGAACAGAAGCTGAGGATAAGACACAACAAAATTATGATATAGCAAATAATTCCACAAAGCTGAAATAAGTGAAACAACATAAAGCGGATGATGTCAAGTTTACTTAACTAGAAGAAATGTAAATAAAAGTAGCAACAAGAAATAATAACTTTGTGTTCTTTAATAAATATTTCATGTCTTCATTCTATGTTTCCGTCGAACAAGAACAGTTTTGCTGGCACGGCAACATGGCGCTTTAATTTACCTTGACGAGAAATTTGCCTCTTATTGCAGCCCTGATGTCGAGCGATCGCCGCCCGATGCTGATGGCATCAACAGAAGAGTCGGCCGACGTGGGGGGGTTGTTGTTATGGGAATAGCCAGCTGAGTGCATCGGATGACTCAGCCACGAGGGAACAATAGGCTTAGTTCTTAGTAACTTGCTGGGGCGCTTAGCTATGCTGGACAGGCGTGACTGCAGCGAACGGTTCGTAGACACAGGCGTCACGGGAGGAGAAGGTAACGTTGTCATGATGGAAGGAACATGAATAGTGTTTTGAGAGTTAGTTGTGTCAGATATTAATGTGAGATCAGTGGCAGGGGCGTCAGGTAAAGAACTTTGTGGAATGTTGCGGTCAGTAGAGCATTCAGTGCTTCCTTCTTGATTCTCAGGTAGAGAAGTTGTGATGTAGGATGACCGATACGAGTTTTCTTCTGTAAAAATTGAACTTTCACCGTCCCCAGAAAGATGTTCCTCACCTCTGATCCAGCGTTCATCAGGATTCGCAAGGAGATCATGAACTCCTGTCATGTACGCTGAACTAACTCTTGTCTCTGTTGGAGAGTTGCAGTCGTTGATGACATGGAGGGCAACATCAGCGTGGACTCGATGCTCAGATTTGGACTTTTTAATGTCAACTAAAATGTCGGAGGATTCAGAGCTAACAGAGATGTGCGGGATATTTGTGCTGACAGAGATGGGCAGCAAGCTGGTATTTACAGATGGAGGCACAGCAGTACACGACAGAGGGCGGGCAGTGCCATTGACTGACTGGGGAGCAACACTCGCAGCAATCTTTGGTGCTTCAGTCAACTGCTGATAATTGCACACAGGATCACAACGTGAAACACAAACAAGACGGTTAAGCTCGTGTCATTACTGGTCATGCACATTATTCAAACATTATACTCCGCTAACAAGCTCAAATTGTTAATTTTAAATGTACACTTTTTATATTTCGTTTGCTGGCTGTTCGTTCAAATCTGGAAACTAAGAGCTAAATATGAATCATATACTTTAATCGTTAGTGCTAAATATAAAATTTGCATCAAAATCAATTTGCAAGCACGATTGATTGAACTTGTTGTGGTCATATGCATTAATTTTTTACATATTTCAAGTCCACGTGAATTCCTTGCAGTACTATGCATTAATATCCTAAATTTAAAGTCAAGAAATGTTCTTCGCCACTGCGTTAGAAAATAAAATATGAATTTTAATTATTTTCCTTCATTGCAACAACTTTAGGAGTGCAGCGAGGTATGCCAAGGAATGCAGGTAAACAAATACAATGAGGTGATAAAAGTGGACACCAAAGTGCTGAACTCGGTCCTAGAGCTTTTATATTTTTGATCAACAAAAGACTATTAGTTAAAAGAATAATAATTTGAAATAAAGCCAGTAAATTAGGACAAATTAAAATAAATACAAATTATTATTCATACTACGAGGAACATGTGCAAATTAAACATATACACATTACATTTCTTCCAAGCATTTGCCATGGCGAGCACCAAAGACAAAAGAAGAGAACGTAAGCAAATTATTTAACAATAACTGAACGCTGAAATTCATACAAGTATTTCAGCAAATTATTGTCTAAATACCATCAGTGGCCAAAGGGTGACACAAGATACTGAACAACTCAGGCTGCAACAATAAATTGCATTAGATTGCAATCCACGTAAAAATCTTTGAGAAATAAAGTTGTGAAGCAAATACCTCTTTTTCTATGCTAGAAAGTTTCTTTTTCTTGCGTTTGATGCGAGGTGGTGCAACAGGAGGTGGAGGCGGCATAAGCAGCTGGTCCTCGTCCTCTTCCACACGTTTGGTGGAGATATTGCCTGTGGTGTTGCTCAAATGATCCAGCAAAGATCCACATAATTCTAGTTGGCTTTGGTCGTCTGTTGCATTACTAGTGAGATCTTTAAGGTGACATTTTCCATCAAAAGAATCGGAAGACATACAACCATCTGGTGTAGAAGTTTCATCTCCAGCAGTCAATGGAACACCTCCAAGGCTCGGCAATTTTCGATTTGGAGCAAGGGGATCAAGAAGCGCAATGTGTAGCAGCGCGGGGTGCGACTTGTGCTGTCGGGATGCCAGCGACAGCGGGTGCAGGGTCGGTCTGGGGGCCTGTGACGACGCTGGCAGCGACTGCGAACTGAAAGGGATGCCACAGAAGCCAGTACGACCGACAAATTGACGGTTATTTGTTTGGCCACTGCAGAACAAGCCTTGTTTGGTGTCACAAAGATTTAAGAGCTCTAGGTTGTGTGCTGGCACAACTAAAGGTTGTTCCTCAGCATGAGTTCTGTGTTCATCTCCAGTGTCAAAAGAGGAGCTGCGTGTTTTCGTGCTGGCAACTAGATCTGGTTCTGCTCCCAGGCCAGTACCTGGAAATGATCCAAGATATGAAACATAGATACAATCACGTTAAAGCAATTAATTAGTGAAGTTCTAGATAATAGGAGGAAAACTAGGACAAACTCCTATGTTTTCTTTCAGTGCAGTTAGCGTTTTGGCGATAGTGATGAACATTGACTAATCTGCTAACAAGATGATGGCTCAAATAAAGTCTTGGAAAGCATATATTTTCCTCACATAAGCCAGAGTCAGACTGATCCTCATTGACGTTGATAGGGCGAAACTTTTGATGACTTGCTTCGGAGGAGGTGGGCGAGGGAGGAGGAGAAGAGTCAGGTGGTGGGGGAGGAGAGGCGGACAATATGGGGGACGAAGACTGTGGTAGAGAGGAGCTGGGGAGCTGAGTATAGTCAGATGAAAAGGTTGTGGCAGGCACGTATGCAGCAGAGCAGCTTAAGCTTGAACTGTCGTGCCAGGGGCTGTGGTGATCCGACAGCAGAGACTGGTTGGCTTCATGGAATGTACCACTTGTGCTCTTGCTCACCTGCACGCAGAATAATTGCCATTGAAGCTTAAATCAATAACAACTTAAACTTAATAAAAACGCTTCAACCTTCCCCGCCAAATCAGTCTCAGAACACGGGAAAAGATAATATTATAAATATGTTGACAAATTCGTCTTAAAGGGTCACAAAAATTGGCCAATTGAATGAGAAAAATATATTTTTCATTTATTGATGTGTATTTTTTTACGGATACCACTTTGTTTGCAAAATTATTATATTATTTATACAAAGTCCCTACACGTAATGCTCAAAATATCTTCCAATCAAGGTTTTCTGCATTGACAAGTAATGGCCAAAAACTTTGGTCTGCCAGAGAGTAAGTGGTGTGTGTACCTTGCCAGCAGAGATATATGAATAAATATATATGTCAGCGATATATATCGTTACATTGTAATGATATGTAATGATATACATGTAATATAACATGTAATGATATATGAATAAATTAACAAGTAATGGCTAAAAACTTTAGTCTGCTGGAGAGTGTGTACCTTGCCAGCAGAGATATATGAAAAAATATATATGTCAGCGATATATATCATTACATTGTAATGATATGTAATGATATATGTAATATAACATATAATGATATATGAATAAATTAACAAGTAATGGCTAAAAACTTTTAGCCTGCTAGAGAGTAAGTGAGGTGCATGTACCTTGCCAGCAGAAATGGAACTGTAGAGAGAGGACGAGTCTGGCTCCACAACTCTGAAGGGCTGCATGATGCACCCATCACATGCATCTCCGCTGGTTGTGTCATCACACCAGTCGTCATGGGTTGCTGTGCAAATACCAATCACCAACAATAATGTTTTGTGCACTACCAATCACCATCAGTTATGTTATCTGTGCACTACCAATCACCATCAGTTAGGTTATCTGTGCACTACCAATCATCATCAGTCATGTTATCTGTGGCAGACTAAATTGTTCCTTGATTAAATGAGAAAACTATGTAGTAAGTTCATTTCAAATTAAAATTTAAACATCATAAAGCTGTTCTGATTCTCAAGATTTTTTAATAATTTTCGTACAACACACTCCAAGTTTTGAATGATTCCACACCCACCACAAAGATGTGGTGCAGATGACTGATGAACAGGCATAGCTGCCTGACGGCGCCGCATTCGCACAGCTGATGCACGGGTTTTTGGAGACTCGGAGGCTTCATCATCATCATCTTGCTGAAATGACAAAACTGCATCAAGTATTTGCAGAAATTTCAGAAGAAAACATTTTCCATCATTAAAAACATTTTCCATCCAACATTAAAGCACAATGTGAAGCATTTTATGAAGACATGATGGAGCTTATGGTTTTGCTCACCAAATTGCCAAGAAGGGAGCCACTCAGGCTACTGCAAGTGTCCTCTTTAGTATTACTGGTTTCATCAGTACCACCTCTTGTCACCCGCAAGTTGCTATGAGGTCCTGAAACCTTTAAAAAAATATTACTTAAAGAATAGAAATTAATAGCAGTATTTGCATAAGAATAACATTTCTATAATTAGACAAACAAAAAAGAGCTCAGTAAACAACCGAGCAAGCCAATTAAAAAATTTCACCTTTTATTAGAAATTAACAAATGGTTTCATTATTCAATGAGCCTGATGAACATAAAAACTCGTCTGTTGATAAGAGCATTAATAGAGGTTCAAGCCTACAAAAGCTAAAGTGCTATTTCAAACTAACCTCTGCTTTCTTCTGATATGGTTTCCTGCCAAGGACTGCAGCACCAGCTGAACTGACAGGCAAGGGGACTTTGAATGCTGATTGCAACTCAATGCCATGCCCATGAATGTGATCCTGCAAGTTTAGGGGATAAGATTAACACATTTTTTATTGTTAGCTACATTTAAACAAGTGATAAATTATCTATTTGAAACAATAATGCATACACAGTCTTGGTAGACTGTGGTAAACATTGCAACTGAATTGAGAATTGTTGGGAATCAGTTTTGCAATTTCAAGGTTTTTGTTTGATTGAGCCCTGTCACATGATTAAGTTGAAGAGTTTATGTTAACAAAAGCAAGTATAAACTCACAGAGCTGATGAGTGCAGGAGCTGAAATCTTTCTCAACGGTACACTTTGTTGAGTTTGCAGTTCAAGAAATAATTTTCTGGAAAGGTATAACACCAGATGAAAATTTTTTATCCATACATGGTTTTACAAGGGATGGCCTAAAATACATAATTTGTCATGAAAGCAATTTGAGCTTGTATGGTCTGTGTTGGATGTCACATACTTCATATAGAGAGATAAGCTAGATAGATTAAAAGTTAAATAATTATAGTATTAGATATTGCCATTATTACTAAATAGTTATTTTGTCAAACAAATATGTAGCAGCAAATTGGCAGAAACTCCATGCATTTTCTATTAAAAATTTCTACTGCAACATTTCTCATTCTATGAAGAGGTCTCTAATACAGTATAATGTAAAAGATTTTAATACAGTATAATGTAAAAGATTTTAATACAGTATAATGTAAAAGATCAGATAAGTCCTTACCCTGGAGATTTTGGAGTTTCATCAAGCGCATCATGAAATTCATCTGAATCACTTTCAGATGACATCTTTTTGGCCAATATCAATAGTTTGAAGTTCTCTTCCCACACATTTAATGCTCTTAATCAATGTATATCCTGGTAAAATAAAGTTTGAGAAGCTAATATTTTAGGCTTGAAAATAATATCTTGAATCATAATTTAAAGATCGGAAGAGAAATCAGATCTGTTCAAAGTGCTTGCTTATGCCATAACAGATCATTTTAACCTAGTAAAATTTGTTGAAAATTATATAAATACAATGAATCATTAAAGAAAAATTCACGTTTTTTCATTCACTAAAGATTTTAGAACAAAGGAGAATCCATTACCCTTGGTTCAACCAGAAAAAATTATTGTTCCATGTATATACATGGAAGAAACATTTTTCTATAAGTTCTGTTCCAAGACAGCAAAATTCAAACCTTATTAAACTTAATAAATTTGAAGAGAATTTGTCTTCTTTGCTTTCATGAGAAAAGGTTAATAAAAATATTCTATCATTTGCTTCTACAAAGCAGCCCAAAGATACAAACAAATTTTGGTAAACAATGGATATGCAAACAAAACAAACTCCCATTGCCATTGATGCTACTAACTTTGCCATACATCATACATGGTGATGTTCTATATGCCTTCTTCTTGTCCTTCTCAATGACCTGTGGAATTTAGGAGTGCTCCTGTCCAAATTGGAGAGTACAACGGTACACTCTGGAATTGGAGCGCACAACCTACCAAACAAGGCACAAGGGCCTCAACACCAAAACAGTAGCAGAATCATGCACCCCACTTTAGCTTCCAATTGGCAATTACGTAGATTAAGGGTAGGTCGCAAATTTTTTTTCCGCGTTAATCAAAACCGCGGTATTCAAAACCGTGCTAATCAAGGGATTGCTGTATTGAATTTGATCATGTAGTGAAGCCTCTTGACATTGATTGCAATGAATAAAAGTAGACATGTATTTACGCTACTAATTTATCATAAAAGTTGGACCCCATATTTTCATGCTTCATTACACATTTTCATTGCTTCATTACCAAGTGAATTTGTGAAATTCATCACCTGAAGCTGAAATTACAATTTTCAAGTAAAACATTAAACTCACTTCATGTGAATTGCTTCATTTAGCCTATTACTAGTCTGTAGGCTACCTAATTAGTCTATCTGTGAAAAGTTTTTATGACCCATGAGTTACAACCAAATGCACCTGCCACATCATGGCACATGGCGTGGCACTGGGTGCAAGTGAAGAAACAAATGTGTTTTTTTGTGAAAATTTTGTCATGTTAATTTGGAATCTCTAAACTATTTAGCCTACATTCTAGACTAATTGTCAAAATGTATTATAGTAGCCTATGTTGAACTTTTCAAGCAACATTAATAAATTTTCTATTTTTTTCTATGATAATAAAATGTTTGAAATAAATTTGGATCCATTTTCATGATTTTAAAAAATATTTCTTTTTAACTATGGCTTGGCAACAGGCAACTTTAGTGTGGTGGCAACTTTCGTGGGATTGATGGTAGTAGTTTATTTATTTTCTCATCCCTGATGAGAAAATAAGCACAGCAGAATTGTAGCAGTGAGTTGCGAGTTCGAGACCGTGGGATCGGGTTCCAAAGGCCAGATCCCTTGTGGATGAAGTCACAAAAAATTCAAGAATCGGCAACAGGCCATGGGCCTATTTCTTCAGTGCTGACACTTCTATTCTATTCTATTAAAATGATGTGAATGTTCTGCAATGTTAAGACTTGGCGACAGGCCTACAGCCTAATAAATGCTGAAATGCTATTATTATTATATTATAAAGAAGGTTGAAGGCTGTTCCTGTTCTCCATAAGTGATAAGTCGTTAACTTAAGAGCCATTATCATGAATTCATGGTTATTCCATAAAATACATTGTTATATTAAATATTGTACTTTTTAATATTGTTCAAGTTTTTAATATTGTTTCCATAATATATTAGTATACTAGCTCTTGGAATAACTTCAGTAGGCCTAGTAGCATGACTAGCATCTGATCGTATCAGGGCCTAGGCCCTAGGGAGAGTGAAACTTGATTAGTGATCACAGATTCTATCACGAAGATTTTGGTGGTGGTGGTTATGGGTTGAAGGTGAGGAAGCAGACACGTTGACCACTTGTTTCACCTGGACTCATCAATGATTAGTTATTTCAAGTTTCACCATATCTGGCCTCATTTCACTCTCACAGGTGTCCATCTTCAGATTGTTGACAGTTTTCACAATGAAAAGTGGCAATTGGCAGATTCTTATTTAATATGATACTATTCACTTGCTATGAGGTAGCTAGACGACCAGTTTTGGCAATAAACGTAGCAGTTGCTTTCATAATGGAGCACTGGACTCTTCTGGTAAAGTTGCCTCCACCAAGGAGCACACGCACAGTTGTGTGAGGGACTCCCAGGGCATGAATACTTGAAGCCATCTCCTGTCTAACTTGATCGTATTGAACACACTCAAGGAGAAAGTGTTCGATAGTTTCTTCAACCCCACAATGAAGGCACATGGGAGAGTCAGCCATGCCAAAAGGATGGAGGTAGGAATGAACCCCAACATGACCAAGACAAAGGTGGGTTAAAACTACTGTGACACAGCGATATTGACTTGCAATCCAAGGGACAGGAGACAACCCAGAGCGGACAGAAGATGTTGGCCCTTTCCGTCAGCAGCTACTGCAGTAATCCAGTCCAGTTCCCAAAATCCAAGAAAGCACAACCAGAGGACAGTAAGGGCATCCATACAGGGCAAAGGAAATAAGGCAGAGTGATCAAGGTGATGTCCCAGTTTAGCAGCTCTATCAGCCCTCTCATTACCAATAATTCCAATATGGGCCTTGTCCCACTGCAGATGCACAGTCTTCAAATTATTCAACTGTACAAGTTTCTCACGTATTTCATAGATAAGACTACAGCAGGTGCCAGTGGGGGATATCACAAGTTGTAAAGCAACAAGAGAGTCAGAACAAACTACCCACAGAGGGAAAGGGTCCACCTCAATAATCCACAGAGCCTGAAAAATTGCAATTAATTCAGCAGACAATATACCATGATGGGGGTTCAACCTCCATGCAGCAGCTTGTTTGGTAGATGGTATATAGAGACCACAACCAGTAGATGAGTCACCAAACACAACTTCAGAAGTTTTATCCCCATTTGTATGGTATGTTAAGCAAATATACATACTGGCAGCCAGATAATGACATCTCAGTCTCAGGGCAGGAATATGAGCCTCCACATGGAGGGAGACTATGGGAGTGGTCTGACAGGCTCCAAGGATAAGTCAAAGGCATGCATTCTGCAGGATTTCTAGCTGCTCCAACTGAGCAGAAGAAGCTGTTGCATAAAGAATACTGCCATAATCTATTTTTGCTCTAATGTATGCGCAGTAAAATAGGCATAAGAAACAAGAACTTGCACCCCAGTTTGGAGACGCCATATGTTTGAGCAAATCCATATGTCTCATTTAAAGTTCGTGTTTTACGATAGGTCAATTGAATTGAGTACAGTTGCTTAGGTGCCACTGCCAGGATGACTATATCAATAGCATTTAGAAGGTTTATGTTGGCTCCAGGGCTGATTTGAGGTAATTTGCTGGTCTATGGCAGCGCACCTCTCGTTCAGCCGCTCGGCGCGAGAAGTTGAGAGATAGTAGGGAGCAGCTGTTCACACGCAATTTTGTAAAATCCCCCGAGAACAGTAAATTCTCACGCACAATTTTTGAGAAGCACCTGGAAGGACAAAAATTTCACCTGCGATTTTCTAACTTCACCCTTGAAGAGCCTCTTTTCACACGAGGTATCCTGAAAAATCTGCCCAATATTCCAGTCTGGCATTATAAGCTAGTGCACATGTCAGCCAAATTTATTTAGTGACATGTCATTATAAGCTAGTGCACACGTCAGTCGTCAGCCAAAGTTACTTAGTGACATGTCATTATGAACTAGTACACACGTCAGCCAAAGTTACTTAGTGTCGTTAGTGACATGTCATTATAAGCTAGTGCACACGTCAGCTAAAGGAACTTTGTGATATGTCATTAAAAGCTATTGCAGTGACCATATAGTGGCAAAGCAGAGAGTTTTTTAGACTCTCCCTCAAGTTCTTTTTTGAGTCCCATAAGTAGACCAGTAAAGTATCCTGGATAGGGTAAACGCGGTATATTCCGACATCGTGGGTAATTCCGACACCTCTCTATATTATAATATAATATTATAAATATTACAAATTACCCACGACATAATATATTATAAATTACCCACGACATCATGGGTAATTCCGACACCTCTTTATATTAAGCTTTGTTTTAGTTCCATGCGTTCGTTGATGGTTGAAATAGTGACGTCATACATTTGAGCAGCAAACTACTGCCAAAACACTAGGTCTGGGCCATCTAGCGGGAAAATGTTGAGATCCAAAGAGAGACGGTGCATGCCATGCAATGAGATCATCGAAAAATGTGTCAAAGTTGACAGTTGACTTTGCTCTACCAAATAGTGATTAACTGTTTGTGTAGAAAGAATATTATGGTTTGAGACTTTTAAATACATCTGTGAATATATTAGGAATCCTTTAAGTATACTTGTATTTGCTGATTTCAAGTGGTAAATAAATAAATAGATGATTAAGTTGAGAAATGGATTTAGACACATAAAAACTAATTCCGACTTAACTTGAATTGGACACACACAGCTCATTCCAAGCTGTGTGCAAAAATTAAAATTTTCTTAATTTAAAGCTTAATAACTGTTAATTAAAAGCCTACAGCAACCCCTTGATTAACGCGGTTAATAAATCCCTGAGTTTTACCGCGTTAAGCAAAACCGCGCTAATCAAACTTAAGAATATAGGTATGGGAATAATTATAATGAACCCTCAAAAATAGCAAAGTTACATAATAATTTTTGTTTCCACTAAAATTCATCATATTTTTTTCTAAATAATAGGGGAAATAAATAAAAGAAACGTGAATGAATTAACATTTATTTTTTACTGAAAAACAAATCCAATTTCAATTGCACAGTAGATTTCTTTCTCTCCTGCATAATTGTGCGATAGCAATTCACTTGCCTATCCAGGCCACGGCAAACATTCATGCTTCTTTCTTCATTTGGGTCTACTTCTCTTATGATTTATTTAGTTTTTTCAATTGCAGTGAGTAATTCTGCAAGTTTTTTACTAGAAATTTCTTTAGGAGCCATTTCTTTTTC